CCCCAGAAGAGCGTCGGAAGCGCCACCCCCAGCTCTACAGCTCGTTCCCGCGCTAATAAGTGTATATCTGCATAAGATAGCATTCGGCTACCCCACAGATTTTCAGCTCGCGCTGTGATCAACTGTAATCAACATACCTATTGACTGTTCTGCGGCTAGGAGACTAGAGCGCCGACGACATAAAGAGTTATCCCTATCGCACCACGCTCTCTGTGTGTGTGTGTGTGTGTGTGTGTGTGTGTGTGTGTGTGTGTGCGTGAGTGTGTGTGTTGTGTTGTGTGTGTGTGTGTGTGTGTGTGTGTGTGTGTTGTGTTGTGTTTGTGTGTGTGTGTGTGTGTGTGTGTTGTTAGTTCATCTGGCTGCTGTTGGTTGCCCCATGACCTAGAAACGACATACAGTGCATGGTTTCTCACGCATGCGTGTGTGTGTGTGTGTGCAACCAGTGGCGGTGCTTACGGCGGCTGCTGGAGGATGCGCGGCGCAAAGTTGACCATCACGGTGGCAGGGGATGAGTCCACGACCGCATTTCCATTCGTCGCAGTGGCACGGAGCACATACCTGTTGCGAGGAAACGATGCAGCGAGGCAAAACAATGCAGGAAAAGACCGATGAATGGCTGATGCAATCACGCGCATAACAACAAATGGTGTAACCATGCATGACAACCGACGCACACACGCACACACGCGCGCATACGCAGACACAGACACACACGCGCAGACACACACAAGACACCATGCCACTTACGTTCCCGCCTCATTGGCGAGGATGGTCTCGATGACCAGCACTTGGGATGCGGCTGATGGGTTCACGTCTGGATCGAGCGGTGCACCATCATGCAGCCACTGGAACGCATACGTCGCATCCTCGGGTGGGTTCATGCCTTGCAGCACAACCTGTGCGCATGTGTGGTGTGTGTGGGTGAATCAAGGCCCAATAACGTTGTGCGACGCATCTCAGGATCCAGCTTCTCTTGATTCAAATGCACTCGCACAGACGTGCAGCCAACCAACACACAAACGCACCTGGCTCAGTTCCGACACCGTCGTGGTTGCGGGAGAAACGGAAAAGGCCAGCACTTGCTCGCAGCACAGCGCTGCTACCAGCAGCGCCAGCAACAACGGCTTCCAGCATCGGCCACCAGCCATCGTTGAGGGAGAAGAGGGATGGATGGGGGAAGGGAGACAGACCTGCCGCACAGACACTAATTGTGACGATGGGAGGTCAGCTCAACTTGCTGCGGAACGTGGCGTGTTTGTGGTTGTTGGGGTGCTTGTGTATGCGACTGCTGTTGTCGATAAGGTGGCGGTGGTGGGGGAACGAGGAGGCAAAGAATGACAATAAGGTCTGCTGTTGCAGTTTGTTTGAAAGTACCGGCGGGCAGCCTGTGTGTTGTGTGTGTGTGTGAGTGCATGCACACGCAGCACACGCACATCTCAGCAGCATCGCTGCAACGGTTTCACATCGTTGGGTTTGCTCGTTTGAATTCCGCGCGGCACAACCGTCTGCAGTCAAACTTGACTTTGTGGCCGCTGAGGAAAGGCGAATTTGACGTTGTCGATTATCAATTAAGGTTATTCACCAAACTTCCCTGTGGCCTAAATTCAGTCTTTCAAGTGGAAACTGAATTCAGTTGTGGATATGGCGCAAAGGCAACCACAGCAGAACAGGAGCAGCAGCGAAGACGCGACGATGGCAGCGGGCAGTGCGGTGAAGGTGCGCTGGGGTGCGCTGGCCACGGTCGTGGCGGTGGTGGTGCTTGTGGCTCTGATGAGCAGCGGTGGCAGCAACACCGACGACAGCGCGCATCACGCGGGATCACGCGTGCACGAGCGGGGTGGAGACTCGGCCTCTTACGTGCACCTGAACAAGGGCGCCGTTCCACTGAGCAACAAGGGTGACGGTACCGGCAACAATGCAGCTGCAGCACAAGCCCGCGCCGGCGAAACAACACCATCTGCACAGGAGGAGGAGCAGCAGCCTGAAGCTTGCGACTGCTCGTCCAGGTACAAGGCATAAAGGCATTGTACAGGGCTGTGGCAGTGCCTTTTGAGCGAGTGTAGTGAGAGCGCATGTGTTGTTAGTGTGCATGTGTCAGTGCGTGGGTGTGAGCCCTTGTGTGCTCGAGGTGTGAGCCCTTGTGTGCTGGAGGTGTGCTTGTGGTTCGTTTGGTAGCCGCACTGCCCATACATATGTGCGCGGGGATGCGGCAGTTGCGTTTTCCACACGTCAAGTGGCTCATGCTGAGGTGATGGACATGTTTTTCAGTGAGGCTTGCGCGTATGGGAAGCTGATGTCGATGGAGCCAAGCCAGTGCTGTGAATGCGTCAACGTGCCACAGGCCCCAGAGGAGTTTTCCGTGCTCATGAAGACAACAAAGGTGCACAAACGCCCACAGATGTTGACTTGATGCCAGGTGATGTGGTGGTATACACGTTAGTTGTGGTTCGCTTGACTGATCAGGCGCTAACTTGGTGTTTCATGCTGATTTGCACCGCTCTCTGAAGGGTGACATTACGCTTCGCATCCACCGCGAATGGTCCCCACTCGGCGCCGATCGCTTCTACGAACTCGTACAGGTGTGTGTGTGTGGGGGGGAGGAGAAGAGAAGGGGGCTGTATGTGTGTGTGTGTGTGTGTGTGTGTGTGTGTGTGTGTGTGTGTGTGTGTGTGTGTGTGTCTGCGTGTGTGTGTCTGCGTGTGTCTGCGTGTGTTTGTTTGCTGAATCGCATGCTCTGTCTCCTCAACTGACATGCACGTGCACGCTGGCTGCAGCTCGGGTTTTGCGAGCCGACGGCGACATCGATCAAGGGCCTGTCCATCTTCCGCGTCGTCAAGCGATTCGTCGTGCAGTTTGGCATCCACGGCGATCCAAAGGTAGGGGGGTGTGTGTGTCTGTGTATACGTCTCAGCGTGTGTCTGTGCCTCTGAGTGTGTGTGTGTGTGTGTGTGTGTGTGTGTGTGTGTGTGTGTGTGTGTGTGTGTGTGTGTGTGTGTGTGTGT